TCCCTCCCCCTTGTAAACCATAGATTATATACCTAAAGCTAGTCATCAAGGTCTATTCCCGTATTTGGACACTTTCTTATGCCAGGCTCATTCCTGAGGGCGACCACCAAAATCCATCAATCAAAAGCCCCCTTTGGTTCACCTAATTAAATGCCCAATGGAAATAACCCACCTCATGCCAGCCCATTCTAACACAGACATCTCCTTTTTCTCTCTTCTTAAAAATCACACCTGCAAGGTCACCTGCTGCTGCTCTTCTGCCTGAGTCAGAAAGCAGCCACTTTAACTTTTCTTCCCCGCTTAACAAAGGATCTTTCTGTGATAGCAGGTGTTTGGATGTGGTTTGTGCTTAGTCCAGGCAGGGGAGGGAGCTGCTGCTGTGTGGGAGTTTCTTCACACGCCCTTATCTGCTGAGCCATCTTGCCAGCCCATGCATCTTAAGTTCAAGAGAAAAGTTCCCCACAGAGGAGAAGAAAGGAATTCCTTGTGCTTATGTGGCATCTGACAACTTTCAACCCTGAGAATCATATTTCTCTGCCCCAACTCATCTGCACCATAATGGACTTGACTGCAGGACTCTAGAGGGCTCTCTGCAACTGTGTCAGTTCAAGGTTAAGACCCCAGAGTTATCAAACGCTCTAGTCATTTTGTGCCCCGGTGCCTCAGTTTCTCCCTCATTACACCCCTAGCTGACTGGTAATGCACCAGGAATGAATGCTGAGTGGGATCTGTTGTTTATGAAGCTGCTGCTGCTGCAGCCCTTGGGGCAGGGGTGGGGGATCTTCCCGTTTTTCTCTTATTACATTTTTACCCATTGCTCACAAACGGCACACGGAGGCCCAATACAAACACTGCCATCCAAGCCCTGAGCCCCAAGTTTGACCCATGGAAAGAGGAAGGAGAGAATGCCTCCACAAAGTTGTTCTCTCACCTTCAAGTGTGCACCAGGCCACAGACCCGCCCGCACCATGTCATATGCTGGCCGGCACAAACACATACAAGATAAATAAATACATGTAAAAAAAAAGAAAAGAAACAAAGCATCACAGAATAGCAACATTATTTCAGAAACAGTGTAGGGGGGGGGTTGGTTGTTTGTTTATTGAAATGGGGTCTCACTATGTAGCCCTGGCTGGCCTAGTACTAAGTGTAGACCTGGCTGACCTCAAACTCAGAGATCCAGGCGCCTGTGCTTCACAAGCGCTGGGATTAAAGGAGTGTGCTAACACTCAGCTCTGAGTTAGAGTTTGGGGTTTTTAAAAAATGTTTATTTCTTTATGTTTATTTTATGTATCTGAGTGCTTTGCCTACATGTATATATGTATGCCAAGTGCATACCTGGTGCCTGCAGAAGTCAGGAGAGTGTTATCAGGTCCATTGGAACTGGAGATACAGACAATCGTGAGCTGCCATATGGGTGCTGGGAACCAAACCCAGGTCCTCTGGAAGAGCAACCAGCTTCTAATAGCTGAGCCATCTTTCCAGCCTCGAGTTAGTCTTTTTTAAAAAAGCTATGTTATTGGATTTAAAAAAAGACAAAGTGAAATGGAAAATACAGTGTAGACCATGGGGCTCTCATGACTGACAAAAACAATTATGGTGGGGTAAGGGGAAATGAGACTAGAATGATGGAAATTCTATCTATTTTATAGGAAAAAAACAATAAAAATACTATGAAAGGAAGAATATGGCATCCAGTTTTTGAGAGCAGTTTATTCAAGTAAGCAGAGGACAGATTTGTATTTCCTCTCTGGCAGGCTTTTGCAAAAGAAGGAGCCAAAGTCATAGCCACGGACATCAATGAGTCCAAACTCCAGGAGCTGGAAAATTACCCAGGTGAGCAACTTGACTGCAGGTTCAGAATTGGCCCCGTATTAGAAAGCAGAGATACTGGGCGTGGGAAGCAAGCTCTAGCTGCCCCAGGCACCTGTCTCTTAGAGTCTAGCCCCTTCATAAAAAGTCTGTGTTCTATGATCTACAGAACGTAGTCTATACAGGCAGAAGCGTGAGGGGGGAAATCTAGGGGACATACTTCAGGTTTTCTATTGCACAACTTGTTGAGGGATTTTGCTCCCAATTGCAAAGTTCTGTGAGAATTAACAGCTGACTGGTTAACTATTAATGACGGCTTCACCGCTGCTCGTGACTCCTCTGGTGCAGCCTTGTCCGGAAGAACATGATACGATCCTCTTGTGTTTGTAGCCCGATTAAAAGCTAACAGGCACAGTGGGAAATGTGTTGGTCTTTCGATTGTTTATCTTTTGCATTTTATCATTACTTTTTATCTTGCTGGAAGGAAAATGGAGACATTTCATGAAAAAGTGGGACCTACTGTATAGCACAGAAATTTTCATCTTACAATTTTCTTAAATTTTTATCTTAAGTGTGTGGTTGCTTTACTGCCACCAAATGAATGCAATACCCGTAGAGGCCAGAAGAGGGGGCTGTAGAGATGGAGCCTCGGGAGGTGGCGTTACATGCCGTTGTTAACCACCACAAAGTGCCAAGAATCAAATCCAGATGGTCCAGGAAGGACATCTTTAGAAGGGATTTTTAAAAGATGTATTTTATTCTTTATTTTTGTATGTGTGTGAGCGTGTGTATATGTGAGTGCGTACAGAGGCCAGAAGGAGGTGTAAGATGACCGACCCCTCAGAGCTGGAGTTGCAGGCATCTGTCAGTCACCTAATGTGACAGCTGGCATATGAGCTCCATCCTCTGGTAGAGCAGTGAGTGCTTTTAGCCACTGATCCATGTCTCCAATCTAAGATTTGTGCATTTTCATGACACTCCTGAGATGGCTAAAACACCGGTGATGGCTACGAGTCCTAGGCGAACCACATGGGAATGCTACATTCCTCACACTTCATACCACAAAACAGCCAAATCTTCACGGCTACTTATTTTACAAATTCTATATGAAACTTGCCTTTTGTTTTATTCTTCAGGTATTCAAACTCGAGTCCTCGATGTCACAAAGAAGAAGCAAATTGATCAGTTTGCCTCAGAAGTTGAAAGAATTGATGTTCTCTTTAATGTTGCTGGGTAATTTAATTTTTTTTTATTTCCCTCTGAGAAAGTTTTCTGATTTTATTAAATGAATGTTGATAGGATAAAAGAGTGATTACTAGACAAAACATGGCATATTTCTTGGGAAGTCAGGCTAGATGTCACACATCACTCAGCAAGCGAGACAGCTATGTCATTGGACGTGAACTTGGGGCCGACAGGCAATTAAAGCTGAGGAAGGGAGTGGACACTGATGCAAAATATGGAAAGCAAGCAAAGCAGGGGTTCCTGGCGTTTCCTTTCGTAAATGATCTGCTTGTCCTTCTCCAGGGCTGTATCTGGAGACATAGCTATTGGTCTGTGAGCATCCATTCAGTCTTTGGCAGGAGACAGTGTGTGGTTTCTTGGTACAGGAAGCGAAGTGAGTGACAACCAGAAGTCCTGTAGTACGTGGGAGCCATTCCCTACTACATCTTATATTTAACTATGGAGTCTCAGTCTAGAGGACCAAGTCTGTAAGGACACCATGTTCAGGAAGTGTCCTTGAGGAAGAGTGGCTTGCTAGGGGGCGAGGGA